AGAGTGATACCATATATGCCCCATAGCTGCAGAAAAGGCTAACATTGTTATCTTTTTACAAAAAAACAGCTGAACATGAGAGGTTTTTGGACCAAGTTTGTGTTCTCCATTCTTTAAGCACCGGTATCGTTTCAAAAGTACCGGTTTGGCACCGGTATCAGATAAAACCTAAACGATACCCATCCCTAGTAACGAGGTCTCCTCAGGGTTTATCACTGGAACACTGGAAATATTAAAAAACAATGAATTACAAAAGAGCACATGACGTGACGGCCTCACAACAACAGCTTCTACTCCTCCCTCTGGATCCTCAGAAAACTAAACCATGACTCAATGCACTAATCCACCGAAGACGTCCTCCCTCTTTGGGATAAACTTCAGAAAAGTGTAAAAAAAATCAATCATAAAAGTTGTGGCTGCTTTACTCTGATTGGACTGAGCTGTACCGGGCACATGCTATGATATTATTGTGATTATTAATTTATTTATGTTAATGCTGAGTATTGTAATGTGCAAGTTAGTAACACTGCAACACTGATCAACAGTAAGTGTGCAACACCCGTTTTGTTTCGCAGATGTAAGGAGGACAGCGTCCTGGTTTTACTCGTGTGGCGGAGCCGTTAGCTCGCGCTGAATCATCGAGCCGACTGTGGTCAGCGTCTGAGATGAGCCGTCATAGTATTCCCAGAATACTTAGTTATTTATTTAGTAAGACATTGATATCTGGTGTCGCTGCATTGGTACTGTGTACTGTGCTGTAGCCCTTCCTTCACTTCCTCCTCGTCCTTTTCTGCTTTTAGGTTCATCTCTGGAGGAAGTGGCAGATAAAAACTGGCGTGCAGTACGCCTGGCTGCGTTTCATTTGCCTATACATCGCAAACATTGCTCACTACATTGGTTTTAATCTCAGCTAGGTGATGGAGGAGAGCAAATGGGAAACATGATGTTGGACTTTTCAATTAAGTTCCCTCTCAACGGCCCATTGGCTGAGCAGGAAGCCTCCACGGAGGCCGGCATTCACCCTCAGCTGTCTCTCTCTTCAGTTTGTACCGAACAGAAGCTCTGAGGCTCCCCTGAGACTCACTCTGCAACCACAGCTGTGACAGAGGACAGAGACGCTGCTGGATCACCTGCAGAAACAACAGCAGAGACAGAGCTCTGGACCAGAGGTCACCGAACAGACATGACAGCATCGCTCGAGTCACCTGACATCAGATT